CATTTTAAATCGGGCACGACTCTATATTTTAAATTCTCTAATATGTATTGCTTGTCTTCTCTGGTGCATTCTTAATTGTGTATAACCTAGTCGGAAAACGAACAGAGTTTATCGGATTTTATGCATAGAGAACAATTTTTTTTATAAAAAGATTGTGTCTATATGTATGGTATGGTGAGCAACTTGGTTTTGTGAACGGATGTACATATAGCAGCAGTGTATGCATCTACGAGTATGAGAGAGTCAGTGAAAAAAGCACAGCAAGAGGCCTCTGCAGCACTTCTCGCTCGTGCACTCCAAATGTGCCGAGCCAAACAGGTTAAGCTTCAATGATTGTTGAATAACAAATCCTAACTGTATAAATTTTATAATCAGACTTTAAAACAAACTCAATTACGAATCTTGTGTGAAATGCAGATACGTACTGAAACTCTAGTAATTGAAGGCGAGGCAAAGGACATGATTTGCGAGGCAGCGGAACAAATGCACGTTGATCTTCTCGTTGTTGGTAGTCGTGGCCTTGGCAAGATCAAAAGGTATGTACACTTATATTTTCACTTATATTTTCTTTTAATACCAAACTCAAATTTCCTGACCGCTTTCTCGATTTGTTTGCTTTTGTGCGTTTTGGAAGAGCGTTTCTTGGGAGCGTTAGCGATTACTGTGCTCATCACGCCCACTGTCCCATCCTTATTGTGAAGCCGCCGAAGGAGATGTCTTAAGTAACAAGATCTACATGTTAGGGTCACGAAAGAGTGTGTTGTGTCTACGTCCGTACGTGTCTGAATAGCAACTTAAATGAAATATGTATGAGTTCAGTCGAATAAGAGGCGATGACTTGTAGTTTGTCGCTGGTGTGCACCTATGTTATTGTATCTTGCCTTCTAATCATATTGTTTAACGTTTATAAGATTCTAATTAGTTAAGCATCGTGTTCTTATTTCTGCAACTTTATTAATTGAATCCCAATTTTCGAACAAACTGAAAAGAGACAACTGATTGAGATTAAATGTAAAACAATTAATTCCTTTTTCAAAAGTTGTGCAATTGTAAACTGATTGATGCAAAATAGCTTAAAACATCAAAATTTATCTATTCAAAGTAGCTCAGACGAAATAAAACTTCATAAAACAAAAGAGCAAAACATCTGAAACATATTCCAATCTAGTGAAGACAAAAACACAAAAGTTCATTGATAAGATTCAAACCCTCAGGGCCAAAAGAAAATCCTTAACGATTGGCCTTGGCAACCCTCTCAATCTCATCCTTCTTCTTGATGGCATAGCTGCAAGAGATTCGGTATGGTTATTATCTTAACTAAGTAATCATGCAAAGAATAACAAAGCCTTTTTAAGAGAGAATGTGTAGTTGTGTAGTGTGTTCACCTGTTGGACGAGCCCTTGGCTGCGTTGATCAATTCATCAGCAAGGCACTCAGCAATAGTCTTGATGTTTCTGAATGCAGCCTCACGAGCACCGGTTGTAAGCAAGAAGATAGCCTGGTTAACACGCCTTAGAGGAGAGATATCGACGGCTTGTCTCCTAACAACACCAGCAGATCCAATTCTGGTTGCATCTTCACGTGGACCACTGAGAATCAAGCAACAAACAAAACAATCATTAGGAAAACCGACATTGTTGCAAAAGTATTACCAGCTGCCTTGCAAATCACAAGCTTAGTGTGTACCTGTTGACAATGGCGTCGATGATGATCTGAATCGGGTTCGCATCAGTCAAGAGGTGGATAATCTCCATGGCGTGCTTGATGATCCCAACAGCCATCAACTTCTTACCATTGTTCCTCCCGTGCATCATGAGAGAGTTAGTGAGCCTCTCGACAATGGGGCATTGCGCCTTCCTGAATCTCTTCACAGAGTATCTCCCAGCGGTGTGGGGGACAAATGTTGCGTGTTTAGCTGCCTGAACTCCAATGTAGTCAACAAGACTGATGTCTGTGACCTACGCGATATGAAGAAGATCCACAAACAACTGTTACTTACAACACTAAGAATCAGAACTCATGATTCCAAAAATAAAGCTCCAATCTTGATGGTATTATAAACAAATGATCAAAACCAAAGAATCTAGCATAAGGCAAGGTTTCTGAAACTAAGCTACTGAGCTCAGACAGTAGAGTTTGTATACCCAAAATAATGTTACCACCACAGCAAGAAAGTAAGGTTATACCATGTAATGTAAGATATGAATTCTAAAGGGAACACTAATAACTCTGAGAAATGAAGATAGATTAAAAATTGAACAACGATGACAAACCAGAGAGAAACTAATTTGCGCAGGCCACAAAACACTGACAAGGAGTACCATTTCGATTATACAATGAAGCCAACGTGATTGTGGTATCACAATTAGTGGAAACAACCATCAAATCTAACGAGAAAATTGCATAAAACAAAGGCTCGATTCCAACCAACCAAATCTACTACATCAAATGAACCAAGCAAGGATTAAGCAGATGAAACAGCAGAAACCA